TTTATTATTCATGATGTGTTCGTGTGAAGAACGCACGCATGCGCTGCATCAATAATTATTATACAATGATGAAATATTGAAAGTTCAGTGACCGTACGAAAATCTTGGATCTTGTCTTAATCATTGCAAACTTGCCAAGCGTTTTTTTTCGTTATACTAGATTCGTGACAATATACAGGCACCAAAATTCGAGATTTCATTTACGTTTGAATACGTTTACGTATACATGTACGAAGATTGTAGAGATACAACGAATATTGTTAACAAAGATCATATGCTAATGAGCCTAATATACGTACGAGGGTTACGATTATGCAAAAAACATGGTGATTTAACGGAGTATGTGGTGCAAATAATCCTTTTCTCGGAAAATTTTAAGGCACCAAGAAGGATGTACATTTTTTCGGAACCAAGCAATGAAATGCCAAATGCTGGCTTACGAAATTCGCAATTCGCATGATTACGGAAAGCAAACCAAGTCGTCCGAAAATTCCAGGCCAGAGAATAACAGGAAAGCGGCGCTCGCAAAAATCCCGGAGAGTGGCATAAAAGTTCGCGCGTTCATTGCAGCGACCGACGATAGGGACGGAAGTCAGCAGCGCCAAACGCACGCGCTCTCCTTTGCTACGTGGAAACTCCTTCGCTCTATTTTCTCGGCTAGTTTTTAAATGAGCATTTCTGAGAATATCTGCCGTCTCGATGAGCCCGTAATTTGCTGCTGGAGCAAAAATAGCGAGCCAATTTGTCGTCACGACCTGGCAATAATCGGCACCTTCGATGAATTAATAGAGGCTACGTGCAACACATTAGTTCTTGAGGTAGCCGTCTTCGCTCGTTCTATGTCAAATCATGCCTTGTTAATTATTCCCTCGAATTTATCTCTTAAATCGGCTGAGGTTATTAAAATTAGACCTAATTTTTCAAGCCAAACAGCGACTGCATTACTGCGCGTTTCCCCAACTGATCGGACCCGGTAAAACTGAAGCACATAAAACGAGGCAGTGACGCTCGAATATACGCCTAAGACTGTACAGTGCAGGTGTCAAGAATCCAATTATCAGATGACTATTAGGGTAATAGAAAATCACTTAAAGTGTTGAGACGACCTCCCCGCGAGACACGGGATTCCTAGAATTGAACCATCACAAGCAGCGTTAAACTCTCCCATTAAGGCCACTTACACGCTCCACCAAGTGATTGAGCGAGACAGGGATTTCACTTCGCTGGCTGCCGACGAGAATAACACCAGGACCGAGAGAAAAGGTGACCGTCACCATGTCACCATTTCACCATGAGCTTACAAGGTGCAAATCCATGTTATTATTAGAGTTGTGATAGACTTTTAGGGCGAGCAACGTTGGTGTACCACAGCTGTGCGATTCGGAAAATTCCTGCTGAAAATCGAAGAGTAAAATTTATTCGCAAATAGTAAAATATGCAGTAAACACATTGACCTGTAAGATACTGTTTACTCTGTGAAGATTTCACCTGAATTGTTCAGGAATTAATGACAAGATTATTCGAGATCAAGAGACTGCACCAAAAATATGCTCCAATAGAACTTATTGTTCTCCTTCATATATAAGATGCATGACTTCTTCCATACGGACGCACATTGCCTGCTAATGAAGTCCAGAAAATTAAAGAGGCATGGCGTACGAACTTTCATTTCCATTCATCTATATATTGATGACTCATGCTCGTGTGAGAAGACTCGAGTGGTTTGATTTTTGCTTTTCATTTTCTATTGCTTCAGACACGACCCCTTCTTTCTGAGTGAGTCCAATATGCAACGCAAATTTCTTTTAAAGATATTCGTTTACTTAACTCAAATGTTGCTCAAATATCTCAAATATTGCAATAAACAATCCGATTTGATTAAGGTCTCTTATAAGTGAAAATTCCCAAGTGTTAGGGAAACATCAGGTGTTGGTCACAACGCAATCATTAGTCGAGACACAAAAATCATCCTTACACATTGATCAACATGTAGAATAAAATTTCGCCTGCCTCAACCAGTCTCAAGGGGAACTATAGGTATTTTAATTCGAATACAATTTACGCAAAAGAAATAAATTTCATGTATAAACCGTCAAAAATTCCAGTGGAACTAACAAGCCACAAACTCAAATAATGGAAACCAAAATATCAGTGCTTCCTAGGATGCGCGCACAACACCACAATTCGTACCATAGGATTAACAATAAACTTTATAATTTACGGGATGCAGTTCAGAAGGGCGGACAAAACTGGCAAGCAGACGGCGCTCTCTTGACCGAGGCTTGGGAAGCTGTCAATCTGCGCAGCGATATTACCTAACTTGCAGCAGGAGTTGGTCTGCTGTTGGCTGGAGTTCCTCAACTAATTTGGAGGCGCCGATCAAAATGCAAAGTAAGACTTGGTGGGCTGGAGAGCAACTCAAAATGACTACCGCTGGCGTTGGGCTGTGCGACGAAGATTCTCGGAATAGGGTTGGTTAGGCATACCTACGGTAAAGTGAAGCTTATTATGTATTAAACGTGTTTATTTTTCTAATCGTTTATATATAGTCTTTAAAAGAATAGGAAAGGTCCGAGATTCATTAGTTCTCTTCTACTGCGTTTCAAATATTACTGGATTGCAGTCAAAATTCATTCAGCTTCATACAAGGAATAGAAATCATGTAACGTTACGAAAATATGTTCACCGTCGATGGGTAATTAAGTACCTGAGCATATTTATTATTTGTAGACACTGCATTTAAGATGAAACCAAAAACAAAGGATTTGTAAATTTGACCCCGCATTTATTTGATTTGTAAATTTTCATGACCCCGGTCATGAAAAACTAACCTAACTATCTCCATTTCGATCATTCATATGGATGAATTGATTCCAAAGTGCAAAATAGTGAATTACAGAGCTTTGAAAGTGAAAAATTACTAGGTGAGATTGGGAAAGAATACAATAATGACTTTATTGACTTACGAGTTACGACTGGTGATGAAGACAAGTCAGCCGAGCGCCCAACAGCTTACACGGCAGAAAGAGTTGCAATTAAACACTTTCTTGTAAAGAATAGTGACTTTCTGGCAAAAAAGCGCGATACAACGGTTAACACTTTCTAACTAATAATTATTGGAACTTTGGATGATTATAGGTCAAGGGTAATTTTAATGAAGTTGTTCTATTTTATTTTTAGCTATGGATAGTTCTCTTCAATTAAGGGAACGGTATATTAACGAACATTATAACCGAATCATTGTTACCCACTAAACATGGAGAATACTTACCTTCTTGTTCTTTGGTATAGTATAGCCTATAGGAGTCCCCTGGAAGTTGGTCCACGTAGACTGTAGAGTGTAGAGGATATTGCCCCTAGACGACACGGTTTGCAGTTGGATTCGCCGCATTCGCGCAAGTCATATCAGCAGTGTTGCGGAACCAATGTTCAGAATGTTACGCCAACTCGCGGGAAGTCACATGCGTACCTGAGGTCGAGTCTTCAGAACGGGCGCTAAGCGCTAACCACGCCAAGAGCTCGCACCAAGTTAGGATACCACGCCATTGTACAGACTGGGGGCTACACCAGAAATAATAAATGGAGACCAACCACTTGTGAGGGGCACCAACCTCACCTGGCCTACTGCCCCTAGTCAGGCTAGTGGGCCAACCATGCCTAAGGCAGCGAGGCTGAGGGATAGCCATAAATTGGATCATGGCGGGGAGTCAGAATGTCGGGCCAGGATATGACCAGCGGAACTGACGAAGTAGAAATCTTCATAACGACAGTCAACTTAACGCATCAGAATCGTGCAGAAGCCAAAAAGAGCAGGAACAGTTAATTGCCATTAGTTCACTACAATATTCCGCCATTATCCGTTCACTGAATAGTCTGGCCTTAACATTGCCATTATGGAACTTAGTTCACTACAATCAGTCCGGCAACAGACGGCAGCTGCCGCGAAACGAAATACCTCATGGAAATACCTTGCGCGTCAACAGTAGAACACAGGAGAAATTCTTTTAATATTTAAGTTTTTGCTCAACTGAAACCTCGTTCAACGTTGAAAACTTCCTTAAAGATGTGTTAGCACATGTTTATTAAGAAAATTCTCTTAAATTTTAACAGGCCAGAGTTCGACACTACTTATTATTTCAGATAACCGGAACAAGATATTTCTTGCTAGAAACGCTTACCGGTCGGTAGGTGTTTTGGTTTCGCTGTAATGACAAAATAAATAGAAAATTCCCAATCCTGTCCATAGGCAAGCATGCTAGAATGCGTAGTACATATGCAATAAAGTGCCAAAATCCATTGAAGTCGCGTGTTTGCAGCCACTGCTCAAATCTGCGCCCACCTCACATATATAAACCCATCAAGGCAATATGTCACCACTTACCCCGACTGTTTGCTTGATAAAATTCTTTAGCTTGGCTGCGGGAAGCTCGTAAGACGGAAGTAAGTGAAGAGGTAGGGCCATCGTGAGTTGAAATTTGTAGAGGTTCACGAATAATGCAAAAAGTGGTACCGAAGCGATCAGGTTTCGGTGGGTCCGGCGATGTTTGTGGCTTCTTAGCTCTCCGGTCGAGTATGGCTTTTGAACGTTGATGGTGTGGCTAGTAAGAGGCTCTAGGGCTAGCTCAAAAGTTAAATTTGTGGCACACGGCTGCGCACTGGTCAAAATTTTACGACAGAAAAACAAAACGTCGCCTCGTAATGCTTTTAATGAAGCGATGGGGATTTCTCGACGCGTTTTTGCACAATAATTAAGCTAGTTTTATTTTCTAATGCATGAAGTCGGTAGTTTGCTCCTAAATGGTAGACGCATCTAGCATAGCTTAGCAAATTAAATTTTGCGAATCGATTGATCCGTTATACCCGAGTTTAAAACAACACTATTCCATGTGCAATTTTCTGCTACAATATACGATGTGACGATTCATTCATGAAAATATGATCCAATATATTGATTAGTTACCTATTTGATAGTAAGCAGTTGAAAAAATGAAACAAATATAAGGACTCCAACAATAGATTCGACAGCGAGGTCAACTTCATTAATTATGCAGGCTTATGACATGCACTCAACGCTTCCACTGTCGCTCCCACGATATCATTGAGATGTGGATTTTGGACCGATATAAACGATATCAAAGCAGACATTAATGAGAAGAGTTAATTGTTTAACAATATCAGAACAATGTTAATAGATATAAATGTGAAGGCGATGGAGCAATATTGTTGATTTAATATCATATAAGTATAACAAATACGTCAAATTCCAGCTAATATAGATCTTCAGAGAGACATCTTACGGAGCGAGGCACCGACATAGCAAGATGATAGTGTTATCGATCAATTTCATACGATGAAAATTTTTTATACGACAGTATTGATGCCTGAAATTTCACAAGGGACTTCAATAGTTTCAAAGCGAGGTAGAAAAGCATTACTACTAGAATGTCACTGGTTTCGTTGCTTACAGTACTGCTTTTTTGTTAAGAATACAGGACAGATCCCAAGTAAGAAATAAGAGTCGAGTTCACAGCTTTATTAAGAGGTTAGTGCAGATTAATGTTAGGCCAAGGTGTTAAGGCAACATCGATTTCTAGAGCATCCCCTGTCTGCGGGCGTTCTGGTAGTGGCTCTCTTCCTTCTGCTCGGGCTCCAGCCTGATCATATCGTCTATGCGCAGGATTGTGATGGCTGCTTCAGTCGCGAATTTCAGTTGCTTGATTTTGCTCATGCCAGGCTCGAACACACCGGCTTCTCGGTTGTCACGGACGGTACCTGAAATTAAGTAAATAAGAGCATATGGATAATACTAACATGAACATTCCCAAATAAAAAATGTACTTTAAAAATTTCTCACTCGGGAAAAATAGCATTGAAAAGCAACCTGGAATAATGAAAATACCTTCCATGAGGTCTAGGCCGAAGTACTTGAGTTTCTTGTGCTCAGCCTTGACTTGAGAGGAGTGGTGGAAGGCCCTCAGTTTAGGCACGAGTTCGGTGGCGTCCCTGGCGGCGTTCACCGTCAGCGTGTTGGGGATCACCAGCAGCGACTGTGCGAACGCAGCAATGGCCAGCTGCTCCCTAGAACTCTGCTCACAAAATGATAATTATTAATAAAAACTTAGGCACCATGCAAAACCTTCGCATAGGGATTTATAAACAAGTTTGTTTTGGTACAAAATAAGTCAAGGTAAAAAATTTCATTGCTCCATTAATGTAAAGGAATAAACATAAATAAATATTTCATAATAACCAATGACTGTGTACTTGTCTTTTATAACCTATTAATTCAACAAACATGTTGTACTTTTACCAACCCTTGATTGATTCAGGGACTATTTTGACGACGCTAATGTTGTACTACTCAGACATACTACTACTATGTACTACTACTCAGCTACATGCAGGGACTATTCTGAAGACGCTTAAGGTGTTCTGCAAAACATTGTTGTACTCGGGGATTATTTTGAAGACGGAATGTTACATTATAACTATATAATGATTGTTCATATATTACTGCTAGGACACGAATAAAAGGAACGCACGAGTGTGGTGGCAAAGTTCTCCAAGTAGACTGAGAGGGCAGCCTCGACGGAGCCTCCACCGCACACGACGCTGCTGCTCTCCAGCACGCGCCGCACCACGCACAGGGCGTCGTGGATGCTGCGCTCCATCTCGTCGCAGTAGAAGTCGTTGGGGCCACGCAGGATGATGCTCGCAGCACTGCGCGCTGACGGGCTGTGGGTAGCGTACGACGTCAATTATACTCGCGGCACAGTGTGCTGACGGGCTGTGCGGCAGTGGATAACATACGACGTCAGTTATACTTGCAGCACTGAGTGCTGACGGTAAGATATGACGTCAGTGTTTCTCGCGGCACTGAGCGCTGATGCATATCAGATAAATTATTCGTGTTGTGGTAAGATTATTATTGATAGTATAGTAAGATTATATGCAGTATTTGAATCGAATCATGAAAACCACAATTTTCGGAAATCACTATAAGTGCAAAAAAAATTCACTCGAATTGCTTCATATAAATTGTGAAAACATTTGGTGGACAGGTAACCAAATTATCAGAGTAATTATCATGTGTTTAAATCATCATTCATGCATAATGATTTGATCAATAAGGGTTGAATAGCGAGTGCCAGATTATTATTACGCGCTGACGGGCTGTGGGTAGCGTACGACGTCAATTATACTCGCGGCACAGTGTGCTGACGGGCTGTGCGGCAGTGGATAACATACGACGTCAGTTATACTTGCAGCACTGAGTGCTGACGGTAAGATATGACGTCAGTGTTGCTCGCGATGCATATAATGATGCATATCAGATAAATTATTTGTGCTGTGGTAAGATTAGTATTGATAGTATAGTAAGATTATATGCAGTATTTGAATCGAATCATGAAAACCACAATTTTCGGAAATCACTATAAGTGCAAAAAAAATTCACTCGAATTGCTTCATATAAATTGTGAAAACATTCGGTGGACAGGTAACCAAATTATCAGAGTAATTATCATGTGTTTAAATCATCATTCATGCATAATGATTTGATCAATAAGGATTGAATAGCGAGTGCCAGATTATTATTCTACAAAGCAGTTATCGTGGCGTCCGTCAGGTTTAAACAAACTTAGAGGGCACGTTACGCACAAGTTTTACAGACACCAAAAAATAAATAGACATGACAAAGGATGAAAACGGATAAAAATGACTAAGTATTAAATTCATAGTCTCTACGAAATAGTTCTGTCTTTAGGCATCAACGAAGGAGCCCAAGTTACGGAAGCCGGCAGACTGTCCTAGTTCAGGCGGCGGCAACCGGGTAACGCTCTGTCGCCAGCGGTAGAGAGACGTGCAAATGGGTGATAAGGCGCGCCAGACCGCGAATGCATCGGAACGGCAGAACAGCGACCTTGAAGTGCGTGCGCTGCTGCATGCGCAGCCAGTGAAGATCACGCAATATCGGCGTCACGTGGTCGTTTTGCTTATTGCACACAAGTCGGGCAGGAGCGTTCATTACGGCCTAAATGAGTCGTTTAAAACATACTAAGAAATCAGAGATACATTTTTATTGCTTAGGGAATGAATAAATATCAGTGATACCAACCCCTTAATAAGGATGAGTTCATCGTCACAGATTCGCTCCTGGGCAACTTCAGCAGCTTCTCCCAAGTAAGAGGTCTCGAAGGTCTCCTCACCCTCCAGGTTACACAGGGTGGTCAGCAATGTTGCGCCCGTCGCTTTAGCGATACGCTGATCGAGTGAAATTTACCAGTTATAAAGAATGACCTTGGTTGTAGCAAACATGGCTTGAGATCAGATAAAATTATGGAAAGTATGAATCTTCTACCACCAGTAAATACAGTGAAAGTTGATTAATTAGAACTCTGAACAGATTGCATAATTGAAATTTCTGAACGAGAAATTAAATTTTTACAATATGTTCCTATAGTATCCTTCAAGTAACATGGCAGAGAACAATACAAAATATGAACTTTATACAGAACTGCACAAGAAGAGTTTCAATAATATTTTTCATATAATATAACTATCCAATTCAACTATAATGTCTCAATTCCTTGCGCAATGAAGACTTGCCTTCATGTCGACCTTCTTGACACGTCTCACAGCCATGGCTCCCGCCTCCACGAAATACTTGAGACACAAATCGTCAATACCTTGCGTTGTCAGGACAACATTTGCGCCAGCCTTCAGAATCTTGCTAATGCGTTCCTGAGATAATAAACACATAAATTGTGTACACATAATATAAATTAGACACATAAATTAGAAAAGCATAAACAAAGGACACCATTTCCTGACAAATATGACAGCAGCAAATACAATTTCCAAACAAATATGACAGCAGCAAATATTTCATCAAAATTGAGTTTCTTAAACTTGAAACTGGACAGATGTTTTATTCAGGACTCTGTAAAACTTTCATAATATTTTGCTTAATGATTTTAAAAGCTGCTAATTATTTAGCACAAGACGCATGAGCTATTCACCTTTGTAATGTCAGCCTCTCGCTGTCTGATGGCATCGAGCTTGTCAGGGTCGCTCAGCAGAACATGCACGCCGAGCTTCATTTTTTCTTTCTGCAAGTTGAAGTCCAAACACGCGATCTTGGCTCCAATGATCTTCTTTGTCATGGCTGAGGGAAAAAACTTTTGTAAGCAATACAAATTCGCTTATCCAAAGAGATGGTTATCATCCATGAACATGATTCAATAGTAAAGTAATCTCAAAAGCACTCTGAAAATACAATTTATTTAAATATTCACAGTAGCAACAGATAAAATAGTAAGGGGACTTTCAATTATTTACAGAGTAGCTTAAATTCAGAAAAATACACGTGACTTCAATAACTACGAGACAGTAAGCATGTTCTTCAGTTGCAAAGATCCAAATAAATTCTTATTGAATGTTAGGTAGATGAAATGAATTCAAGAGGTACAGCAAAAAAGACTGTGAATTGAAAAAATTACTACTCACGGTAAACTAGTCACGTTTACCTAAAGCAAAGCCTCACCATGTGATGCTATGGTGCAATTCAGAGCATAGCCATCAACCAAGACAGACTCGCGAGCTGAACGTCCGTGAGCCTTGAGGATGTTGACTGCCTTGATGGGGTACTTGCTGCCCCCTTTACCGTCACTCACGCGCACAGCTGTTGCAGCGTCAACCACCATCTGTCCAAAAAACTCGCTGTCCACGCTCACCACCTGCAGACAATCAACAAATTAGACAATGAATAATGCAACGTATTGCAAGTAACTTTTAACATAATGATACAGTTTGAAAGGAAAACATCAATGATATGCCGAAAATTAAATGAATCGAACCATACTAGAAATGCATCTAGTGAAGATGAGCTCAGTAAAGCAGTTATGTTCTTAATACTCTATGTATCCACCAGATCCATAATACTATTAATGAAGCAGACATGACACATACTATGCAGCAACATACCTTGGAGGACATGGTGGTGCGTGCTGCAGCCACAACACAGTCCTTGCCAAGTTCATCTGTGCTGATGGTCAAATTGTTTTGGATATACCGGCAAGCTTCCCTGTGGGGAAAAAAGAGTCACATAATGATTACCTACTCTAGATGAGCAGATGAGAGGACATAATAGTATTCATGCAAGCAACACATGGATAAATTAAATACCCTGGAATATAATGATTACAATTAATAAAAATAAAGCAGAGCTAAACTATGAAATAAGTGAAGTTCAAGGACGATTTGAAATCAATGTTGAAAGAGTCGCACATACTTGCAGGCAAGTTTGTATCCAGCAATAATAGAAGTTGGATGGATTTTCTGTTTCACAAGCTCATCAGCAGCTTTGAGAAGCTCAGCAGCAATGATAACAACGCTCGTGGTTCCATCACCAACCTGGAAAGATAAATTGTGAAAATTCCTTGCCTAAAACCCAATCAATGACTCGAATAAAATGACAAACAACTTGTAGAGGCACTAGCTACCTTGGACGTAAAAATTTTATTACCATATACAAGTCAAAAAATGAACCTGAGCATGGCTGCATGAGGAAGAGTCTAAAAAAGTCTCTGCTATGCACTGCCACAAGTTAATTTGTTTGTCCTGACAAAGACAATGACACAAAAAAAGTCATGTCTTGTCAGCTATTTATCACACTTAAATATTTGTTGTTAGGATCAACTTCTATTGACCAATACCAGAAGATGATTTACTTATTTTCTAATGTATAATCAAGTACCTACTAAGTCACTAAATTATAACTAAATAATAGGAAGATAAAATGTTTAAATTTAGGATTAGCCTACAAATCAGAGGGAGCAACAGATTCATAAACAGATATACAACAAATTTTGGCCAGAAACCAAGAATATCAATTCTATAACTTCAATAACACACATAATACAACTGTTTCATTTCATTTTTTTGTAAGGATATTATATATAACATAAAAAATCCATTTCCATCCAGTAAGAATCAATTAATGAAAGTGGAAACATACTATTACAGATATTCATGAAGCAGAAGAAATAATCGATATTACCCAATAGAGTATAATATATATTAGAGTAGGTACACATATACACATATTACCCTATATTATATTTAATACTCATACGGTCATACCTCATCATCTTGCAGCTGTGCAAGCTCCACCAGGACGCGGGCAGCAGGATGCTCAACCTCGAGCAGCTTCAGGATTGTGGCACCATCGTTAGTAACGGTCACATCCTGTCAAATTCAACAAATAATTTCAGAAATTGTCAAGTTACTGTTAAATTCAACAAATAATTTCATAAATTGGCAAGAGTACAAAATGACATATGGAAACATTTTAATATTTTATGCATTTCTCAACTCTAGTTCATTATGCTGAAGAGAATGAATGAAGACAGCAATATAATTTTTAAATCATTTGAAACATTTACATAGCAAGCAAATTAAAAAAATTTTGAAGTAGAGTAAAGTAATTTCTAAAGTAGGTAATTAAATCTTCATGATTTTTTATACAAAAAAAATATGAAATACAATATAAATTATGAACAAGCAAAATTACTGCTGCCCAATGAACTAAATATGTCTACACCTGTAGGAGATGTATTGGATCAGACAAAAAATAATAATTTTCAAAGCCACAAATGGATATCTGGGGCAATACACCAACTCTTTAAAGAAATTGCCTAAAAAAGCAGTAAGATTTTAAATTCAGAATAAACAGGAAACTTTTGAGCTCTCTCTGCTGCTCAACAACATTGGAGTAGCACAGCATTGAGTATAGAGATATTATAATTACCATGTATAGATATTTATTGAGACCCTATCTAAGGCTGATAACATGAAAAAACAGAGAGTATAAAAAGATGTAATGTGTACAGTTCAAGCCTCTAAGAAAAACAATTTTTAGCTTATTCCTCATAAATTTTGGAAAAATCAACTTATTCCTTTTGAATTAGTAGCAAACTTTGAGGCTTCTACTATTGTACAATGTACATGCTCAAAAATTCAGGCTTGTACATTTTCCTAATTGTTTTTTCAACTAAGAAGCTAAATAATGTGAAATTTGAAAAAAAAAACGCGCATGTTGAATTACCATGTTAAATTACAACCAAATTTGAAATTAATATAAATATAAAATTTAGGTAGGACTAAAATAAAATAATTTTTAAAAATTTTGTAAAGTTGATTCTTCTAGCAATGGTGACAAAACTTGCTAAAGGAATGCCCAAGAATTTTAAAAAATTGCAAAAAATACAACATGGACTTCACCACAAAGGTGGATATCTGGTGGTTACTTATGTATTTGATTTCATGTCATATGTCCTGTCTGTCCTGAATGACTTTAGAACAAGTTACAGAACGCAGTAACACATAGATACAAGTTTTTAATGAGTTTTTTTACAACTCAAATCAGCATGGGCTAATACCTCCACAAATAGGTAAATACAACCAGATTACCCTGTGTTTGCAATAGACAAATAACTCAGTTACTCACCCCAACATCATCCACAATCATTTTATCCAACCCCACAGGTCCAAGGGAGCTCTTGAGAATATTTGCCACTGAGTTGGCAGCAATAACTGGAAATAAAAAATTATAAAAAATTTCTATTGTGTTATGTAGCCTCAGTATTAGGCCTTTAATGCCCATTGACAAAATTTTTCTATGTCAAATAGTTGTTGAGTTGTGGGGGTTTTTGTTAAAAAAACGAAAAGTGGTCTAAGTTACCCCGCCGGTCTAAGTTACCCCATTTAACGGTACCTTAATGATCAAAGAGGTAACTAGTAAATTGTGATCACACTCCAGGATTCAAGGATGGAATTTTGAGAATATTGATGAGAAGATCTCGGAAAATAAAATTATGGTGTAACTTGTAAAAGGTAAAAAAAAAATTCCAAAAAATATATATTTTTTCAGCAGCTGCTAAACTGCAAAAGTACCCTGCCCCACTTTCAACTCCAATCCAATGACAGATTGGAAAATAGGCCTATGTCCATCCAAATTCCAATCCAAGGACCCAAATTCCATGTGAGTTTTTCCAGACATAAAGATTCTGAAATTTATGCAATTGCCCAAATAAAAATTGCAGCCTTTTTTGCTCTCTCATCGAGTAAAGCATGATCATGATCATCTCATGATCTCATTCTCACATGTTATAAATTTTTTTTTTTTGCCTAATTCCAGGAAATTGAGCAAAAGCTACCAATGGACGAGACATAAATTTCATTTTAGTTTCTACGGCCCTTGCCTTGATGTCTTTAAAAATTTATTGCAAATTTGAATGGTCTTGCACTGTCAGCACAATTGCACAGGGTTTTTAATAACCACAGGCTGTGAAACCAAAGTTCTAGCCTATGATTTTTAGGAAATAGCCTACTGGAATCTGGATAACATTTCATATATATATCCTACTGCAATCCTGGTATTAGCCTTGGTGTAAAAAACAGGTTAGCCTAGCCCTATACCTAATAATATATTATTTCATAAAAAAATTATTTCAAATTTTTGAAAATCTTCAGACTTCAACTATCCATATTTATTAGGTATAACAGTAAGTCAGACTTAGTAACAATGAAACATCAGTAAGCAGCCTTGAAGTAGGCTTCACAACAAAGAGATGAAATATGCGCAGATCATGAATTTATAAATCACTCACTTCATTAAAAAATATCTTGCTTGCTGCTTGGTACTGTAAGTTTGTAACATAGTAATTTTATCCAATAACAAACTAGGTACTACAATTCTTGAAAATATCAAAGCTCCTCGATAATGCACAATCATTTCCTTAAGGAACATACCTTGTACTTCATGTAAAACATTATTTATTAAATTTTTGTCCGCAGGGTCTTGACATGAATTAACAAGTCTGCCTAGCTGAAAAAAAAATTATCGTCAGAAGTCTCGAAAATTCATCTACGGCAACAGTAGCGGCCACGAGGTGCAATTTCATGGGAATTATTTTGTCTTATTGACATCTTCTCACCATTTTCGGTTCTGACAGATGATCCAGTAGAACGCTTTCCAGGAATAGATAATACTGACTGAAGAGACATGATATTAGTTTATCAACCGATTCACTTGTAAAATACTACACACGAACGCTGCCAAAAATCGCAAAATTTTAGGGCTGTGGCATTTTAGTCATCGCTCCAATCGTCTATAGAAACCTTCTGTTACCGGCGCCTCCTAACAAAGTACTTGCATTTATTGATATAAATTTCGATTTTATGATTTTAAAGTGCGTAAAAATTCCATTTTATTTGTTGAATCTCCATTTTAATACATAGTATGAGTGCAGATGACCAGTTATAATTTTGTAGGACCTATCAGAGGATCCAGCTGTTAGGCTTTGTACAATCAGATTCTACATATGGGTATCAAGCTCCAGGACATTTCTGGAATAGAATCTATGCAATAGAGAGCCATAAAAGGACTAATGACTATTTTTGATGACTAATAGGAAGTCATTAAAAATTTATAAAGCATAACATTATTCTGAGGTAATATTGCATTGTGCGTTAGCCACACCCTTTTTTAATTAAGTTGGTTATAGGTGAGATTTCAGCACCTTAATTAAGTACGCCGCATTTCTGCTTCAATTTTAACAAAAAGTAATTTTGTAACTAAATGCACACCGTTCAATGCCAAATGGACAATTTAAAGTATTTGATGATATTTTTAGGTTCACATTTTCTTAGATTGAAGTAATTAAAACATTCAATGTAAGTTACGGTATGCACAATTCGGTGCGATGAGGGTAATGGTCAGAATATTTGGTATGCTTCATTTTAGTTTGCGTGTAAAAGGCTGAGTTTAAGAAACCTTCACATGTGCAACCTCACCAAGTAGTATTAAATTTCTCAAATTAATCATCACCCACAAGAGGGAAGGTCTCACGTGTCTAGTCAGCTGAAGCTGGCGCGAAAAAAGAAGCGTGAGCCCCTCAATGAGACGAAGTGACTAGGAGAGATAGGCGAAAAAACAACAGAAAAAAGTTACATACACAAGATGGCGGCTGACTGCAGGAGAGAGACAGAGATGGGAACTGTAATGAATCCTGTCTAGGCAAAAACTTAACTGCAGTCTGCACAACTGACACAAGTAGTTAGGCACCCCGAGCTCAATAGTGGAAAACTCAGGTCCCCCCTGAGGAGAAAGGGTGTGTGTCCCATCACGTCTCTAACATACCGAACTATATAATGTCTGGTTGCAAAATCTCGTCGAAATCGTTCACCCGAAAATTAGACTCAACTACATTCTTTTAAAAATTGGTCTTAACCCTCTACTGCAGTGTTTTACTCTCCGGGCGCATAATTTTCAACTTAAATTTTACGTAAACTATTTAGTGTAGCAACCTGAGGACGTTTGTACGCAACAGAGAATATTTTAAAGTTGTCGTACGTGGCGGCAAACATCAGTGCAAGTCGTTTTGCTATCACTAAAACGTATCCTTTTTGGAAAGTAGGATTGTGGCATTATTGCTCCGGTTACTCGTGTGAGGAGGTATAGGGTTAAGAAGTCCATGGAATGCTCTTCCTAGTCAATCTAAGGCACGTCAGACTCTGACGGGCCTTGTGCCTTGCCTTACCTTATTAGCTAGGATGTCTTTTCAGTTACGGTCAAGGGTGAGCCTTAAAGAGCGGAGCAGAGGTGAGACACCGTTCTTCAAGAAGTAGCAGAGACTCACAGCATTTTTGCGGCGACTCTTTTGTGGCGACTGCAGGCCACGCGGCCACGTCACCGAGAGCGAATGAGGCCGGTAAATGGTGTCGCCCAACCATTTGATGCTGCTTCACCTTTCTAGAGAGTAGCCCTTGGGTGCAAGATGGGGGGGGAGAGTTCTTTGGGACCTAAAAAATAAATCATCCTACCTCTACCTACTGGGGACGTGCCCTGTACGGACAGAATTAATAATATATACCACCTGTTGGAGAGGCTGGGTTGATTGGAAGCCCAATCAATCGGAAATGCCTTACACTAGAGTTTTCAAAATTTCTTTGATCAACCACCACGTTGAGGTCCCGCGAATTGCCGAGGGACCTAAATATTACTACTAATCTTGAATATATTTACCACAGTTTACTCGTGTATTAAACAGTGTGCTTGTGTTTGAAGCCTGGCGTCGTGAATAAACAGTAAATTTCTTGGCTAAAAATGAGGCACCTCACCGATTGAAGTATTGGCTCCCCAATTCAGCAATATTTTACAACACTTCTCACTAACTCCACTTCTTGTTTGTTGTTTGTCTGCAACAAATCTTATAATCAATATGGAGCTAATTTAAAAAAATTGAGCAATATTGTTTTATTAGTAAAAAATTGTTAAATAATTTTTTTAATATTTAAAAATAAAATAAGAAATTCATAGTACATGTGTAACATCGGAGACACTGGCCTCATTAGAAGTGTTGTCTTTAAAAAGTAATTTTTAAACACATATTGTTGGTACTAGTGCCTGTTTGGTAGCGTATCCACGATATTTATTGTAACAGAAATACATAAACATGAAATTTTGTTATTAGTGGGGGAAAAGTAAGGTGTTGAGCCCAGAAAGTATTGTATTTAAATTTGAAATTCGATTCTTGATATATATATAAATTCAATTTAAACACTCAAATAATTTTTTCGTGTTTTTAAACTTTAGTAAAATGGGTGTTTAATTTTCCAAGTAAAATTTCCCGTTCAAATGCGTATTTTTTATCCGGGTTTTTTATTTTATGTAAAATATATTACTAATAATGGCGTTGGGGAGAACTAGAATGACGGGATTTATGATAAGCAGGATTCTTTGCAATCGCAAGGATTATGGAGCAGGTGCAACACAGTTTTGACCTTCTTGAATACATCTCAGCTGCAAATATCTTTTATTAGGAATAAAAAAAAAAGTGGCAAAGCCAGTGAGGGCGCATTGGGAATCAATAACTCTGTTGAGCCGATGAGCTTCAAAAATTCGCTCCAAAGTGTCGGAGCAGTGGCAAAATGAAACCTAATTCATTACTATTGTACGCGCAATTTTATATCTCGCCGTAATGCAAATTTACGAAAATAAATCTAGAAATGAGTACAAATTATCCCGTACCTCGCATTTATCGTGTTTTAAAATTGTTAGGATGCATAATCGAAATGGGAAATTTGGGTAAGAAATATTCAAATTGTTATTGAATATTTTTTTCTTGTAGATTTTTTACAAATGCGTTGTCTGTTAAGCCCCGTCCACACACTCAAACTTATCGTCAGTCTTGCATGTCATGCCAAGGTTTGACAGACAAGACGGAAGACTGACGTGCGTCCACATGATTCGAACTTTCCTTCAGTTTAGTGCGCTCTCGGCAATGGAAGAGGTTGTGGCAGGTTCCAATACCACAATGGGGACGACTGAAATAACCCAGCATTGCCCAATACCAGCATAATTTTCATACTTCACCCCGTGCGCAAGCATGCTGCAGAGCAAATTAGCCAACATGATTACTTGCTGAAAGCCACAGGGACTAAATTCCTTCATG